ACTAAACTTTCATATGTGGTTATTGTGAAACAGGGATACATATTTTGTTGACTAAAAACCGACGCAGCGTTATGAAAATGCCTTGTAAATGAAATGAGATTCAGCGCGCACATTTTACCCACTCTATGAAGTTGGTTGTAAAACAGAGAAGTAAAGGTCTAGGGTTTCTGGGGACCATTCAAATAGGAAACTGTACATTGCGGCTTGACACTTACAGGAGCCCCCGAAGAATTTTTGTTTCCACTGCTGGCAAGACGTTGGGTAGCTGGACCTGGGCCTGGAGGATATAAGCGTAAAGTGTCATTAAAATCAGATTATTCGAGCATCAAGAAAACGGTTCACTTAACCGAGAAATAACTAGAACATATTAGTCTAAAAACGATCAAACATAAACTAAGGCATACGAGCAGTCCTAGAACGGAGAGACACATTTGGATCTACGGAAGGGAGAGATGTTTGTAGAGGATGACCTTCCAAACCCCTGAGGGAAGATATTATAAAATTAATTACCGTTATGATTCCTCCTGACGGAACCTGAACCCTTCGGGTTGCCGCGACGACCGCGTGAAGGCCAGACAGAAGAGGGTGGCTAAAGAATAAAACATTGAGAAATTATGCGCACTTTACCTACAACGAAACCAACATCATTGAAAGACAAGTTTTTTTTTCTGCCGAGGGTGATAACCATAAGAGCACCTCAGATATAGTACACCAAGGCAAAAAAATATCGAGCAATCAGCACCTATGCTTCATTTTTTCATGGGATTGGTGTGATGATTGCTCGGCCATCTGGTTCACCGAAAGTGGCGTTATAGACAGTGTCTGTCTGCGCGCTCTCCAAGGGGCTAATTACTCACTAAATTAGTTATCAGCACCAAATATGGGGTGGGGTCGTTGCGCCTTTTAATAGACTGGAAGCCCGTGAAATATGACTTAAGCAGCTCGCGGCTCACGCAGTTCTCAACTCTCACGATGAGTTCGGTCTTGGCACATTTGTGATTGGGTCTCAACGAATGAACGGCGACTATAGAGTTGGCGTCATGTCTCTGTACTGCGGTCGCATGTTCGCGGCCAGTGAGTCATTTAGTTTTTCCGGCGCAAGTGCTTTGCCCGCAATTGCGCCAGATGTGACTAGACGTTTCTTACCGTGGCAGTGGTGTCTCCGTGTCCCGTTATCCGACGCAGGTCACTCGAAGAAACCCCGGCCACGCATTCAAGTTTGAAGAGGCCAAATTTCTTGTGGGAGGTGATAATCGCGTTAGCCGCCAGTTGTGCGAGTCAAGTGCAATTACCTGCTCGTCCCACATTCGGTGCTGGGACTTAGTTTGACCGGTGATTAGCCACTTGGGGAGCGCACAGGCGAACACTGTTTCAAATGCCAGTTTCGGCGAGCCAGATGGTCAAACAATCATCAGCAGGGATGGTGAAATTTTACGATTAACGACTCCAATGCTGGCCATCACTAAAGGGCAACCGTTAACTATCATAGGTATGCGGTAGCATAGCAACTACATCCTATAAATACTGCAACGCCTTGTATATTAAGCAGCTGTATCCGATGCTGCCTCTAAGAATGGGTTTGGACATGACCCCGAAACGTCAGATGAATACATTTCTTGTTACAGCGATTGCGTCTACTTCTTCTTACCTTCAGGTATAGTATTTTTTACTTGATTTCGTGCATAATTCTACTGAAGTGTTGATTGATGCAGCTGGACAGGATTTTTGAGTAATTCAGGATTTCCGCGAGTCTCTGTATATCCCCCGTCCATCTGTCAACGTACCCAAACAGATAAAAACCACATCCAACCAGCGACTCACCTTGGCGTCAGACGCGGCAGAACTGTCGCTGAGAACGTCCGCTTTATTGCGGGATGGTCGGTCCGAATCGGAGTCGGAGGAGGAAGAAAGTGATGAGAGCGAAGAGGCTGGTGATGCATATCTTCCCCCGCTAGCCTTTCCCCTACGTCGCCGCTTAACGGCGGTCTTCTTCTGCTGACTGGAGGGGGAACTCATGGAGGTAGACAGCTTTGTCTTGACTGCAGATGCAGGCGACGGTTTGGCGGACCTCTTGGGAGCACTCACGGTGGAGGGACCATCGGTAGAGTCTGTTGTGGAGGAGGCAT